ACAGTGGGCTACAGTGGGCTACAGTGGGCCACAGTGGGCTGGTGATCTAGTACCGACGTGGTGCTACCAGTTGATTGTACCAGTCTTTGGTGTAAGGACAGTTGGGGACGGCTGCTGTGATTGGTTTATAGAGTGTGTTATTTTGTTTTCTTTTCCCCTTTTTTTCTAAATTTGAAAACAAGTATTTTATACACTTTAAGTAAAGGCCATTCTGAGTGTGAGTGTGTGTGTGTGTGTGTGTGTGTGTGTGTAATCAGAGCTAAATTGATTTTCTCTCTTTACGTTTGGGTGAGGTAAACACCACATCATGGTCATTTCTCCTCCTCTTCCTCCTCCTCCTCCTCCTCCTCTGTCTCTGTCGCTCCTCTATGTCATTACCAACATTTCTGCATTCCACAAACTGACCTTCGTCTGATGAAGTAAACATTATTTTTACTGCCTCAAAGTGTGTGTTTATCATCATATCCAATCAGCTCCCTCGGCTCTCAATTGTACTTCATCTCTGCGGGCGTTAAATCTTCCCGTCTGCTGCCTGGAGTCAGCACAGCAGGAAAACACACAGGTCTAATTAAGGGCAAAAAAATAAATCTTTCAAAGATAAAACAAATACACGGAGCTAACGGTGTATTTGTGATGATTGAGGGCTGCACGCATCACGTGTGATGATTTAACACTTTGATTTTGAGGAGTTTACTGAAGAGGTTGGTGTCGAAGGATGGAAATATTAAAGATCAAAGAAACTCAGGTAAAGAAAAAAAACTGAAGGATTTACCTGATGGGTATTTAACACCTGAGAGCCTCACTTTAACAAACTTTGTAGGAGTACTCACCAAAACTAAACGTGATTTCAGTCTTGTTTTATTTTGGTCTGATAACGGCCAAATCGTCAGCATGAGAGCAGCTATTATAACAAGAAGACCAGAAAAAGAAGGTATTTGAAGAGTATCATCGTACTATTATATACTACTAGTACCGTACTCCAGACGTGCTGTATCCCATGAAGCCACTTGTAGTTTTAATGACATAAAGTCACATAATTAGCACAGATAGCGCCGCCTGCAGCCTGAGAAAAAAAGGCTGTGGCAGCACAGAAAAATCTCAGCAACGTAACAATATAGATTTGAATGTCATGAAGATATTTTAAATATTTGTAACAGAAAACTCAGGATAAGCAAAGCATTCTTTCTCCCATACCAAAGTCCATAGAGAAAATCAGTGATTTTGCACCATGGCAGACGTATGGTGACTCACTTCTGCTGCCATTAGTCAGTTAAAATGTGTTATTTTGGAACGTCTATTGTTTGAAATTATGCTTTTAGAATTATTTTAGTTCCAGAGACTGACCACATGAGGCAGTAGTTAACCTGTAACTCCAGTGTCCCTGTGAGAAACAAAAATCGCTGATTTTCTCTATAGACTCTGGCATGTAAAATGGGATTTAATTTAAACAATAATGAGATAAGGCTAGGAGAAAAAGTTAAATTAACAAAAAATGTAACAGTAAGAGCAGCAGTTTTGTGTTTTCCAATAAAGTGTTTATTTGTTGAGAGTTGGTTTTACAGTGTAGTTAGCAGGATCCATGCAGTCGAGCTCTTTATGTCTAATCATCATCGTAATGATATTAAAGATATTTCACATCACAGGTCACATACAGGACATAAATAAATGACAAACGACAAGCGTCCTTCACTCCGGGTTCATGAAACCGTTTCATACACTATTTACACGAGCCGCACATCGTCTTCACGTTCATCTTCATTTGTGTCGTCTCACATTTTCATCAGCTCACGTCGCAAACAGTGCTCTTCAAATCCACAACAGTACTTAAGAGTAGAGGCAAGGCACACAAATGATTTCAAACCCTAACTTGTCCTACACACACACACACACCCATACAGAAACACACACAGGGAAACACACACATATCCAAACCCTGCTTCACAGAAAATCATTGTCTAGAAAAAAACAAACAAACAACCAAAAAACATAGTTTACGTTCAGCAGTATTATCAACAATGGGGGCAACAAACGTTGGTGTGATCAAACCGTCAACAACAACACTTCAGCGTTTGCTAGCTTTGGTCGTGTTGCATAGATGAAATATTTGTTCATTTTACTTTATTAAGGGTGTTTGCTTTTTAGTCCAAAGTTCAAAAACAAAAATCGAATTTTGTCATTTTTAGATAGAGCTGTCGGAAAAATAAAAACACTGGCATTCTGAAGCTAACTTGCTAAGGATAGCCAAACACTGCTCAAGACATTAGGCAACTTCAACATGGAAAGGTTTGTTCAGTGTCAGTGTTTTTTTATTCTTCAGGTCTACAAGGTAAGGTGTGACTCTGCTGCTCTTTGGGTCTTTGTTTTTCGTCTGGTTTGTAGTTTTTATAACCTGAGCTATTCTGCAAACGTTAGCTAAACCCTATTTTCCATTTGTTTCTGGACATTTTCAAGCAAAGCTATGATGGATATTGAAGCTACCTGTCTTGACAGGAGTGGTCTGAAACTAGCACTATTGCTAACACTAACATTAGCCAATCGCTAATATTTTAGAAGCTAGCTTTACTTGAGTGGTCCTATACAGCTGTGCAGCTCACCATGTCCACGTTTAAAGCTAAAGTTAGATCATTATGTTGGTATTTTGCTAATGTTAGCTAACTCCTGCTCAGCCTATGTCCAACTTCAACATTTAACATGTGTTAAATGTTAATCATATAGAAATCTTATCTTAGAAGTTTTAAATATGAAGTTCTTTGGGGAGTGACTCCTTTCTCTGTCCTATAACTGGAAGTATTTTGTTCATTTTGGGAGTTAGGGTTTCAATCTCTCAGCCTGGGGTAGTGTCAAAGGTTCGTTCAGTGGAGACTTGGCAGGAGCTACAGTCACCATGTGGGGTCTCCTTTTACAACTGACCGATGTGTGCAGACTGATCACAGAGGCTTCATGGCTGGAGTTATTATTCCAAAGTTTTTGGGTCATTTTATGAAAAAAATAACTCTCCAAAAAGCAGCATTAATAATCTGGAAAAACTCCTGCACAGGACGAGACTCTTCATTTTAGAACTGCCAGGTCAAATGTTTACATTCAGTGATGCTTCGGTGCAAAAAACACCACGAAAAACCACAGGAGATCTCACAGATCCTGGAGAACAACCTATCAAAATGAATTTGACAGTGAAGCAGTGTCAATGTTTGGCCACTAGTGGGGGTAAATCCATAGTCTTCTCGACTGGTCACCAAAGTTTATCATTATCCTAAACCTCCCAGTATTCTGTCTCCACCATCTTAATGTCCACCTTGTGCATCCTCTCTGGTCTCTGCTCCTTCTGTCTGACAGCTCCTTCTGTAACACCCTCCTTCAGATATATTCACTGTCTCTCCTCAACACCTCCTCCTCTCCTCTCTGACTTTATCTCCAACCCTGTCCTCCTTCACTGTCCTCTGATCTGCTCAGTTTAATCCTGTCCATCCTGGTCTCTCCCAGTGAAGATCTCAGCTCATCTTCATCTCCTCCACCTCCAACTCTGCCTTTGGTCTATGAGTCAGAGACACTGTCTCTGGACCAGACACCAACCAGTATCTGGCCCAGATGAAGTGTCAGACGTGGCCCACATGTAGACTGGCCAACAGGTAATAATTTTGAATTGTCCACGTCTAATCTGGACGACTGATCGATATTTGTACACGTTTATTTTTGAAGACCACCCTGGACTGAGACGTGGTCAGAGGAATGGACGGCAGCAGAAATACAAGTGTCCTACAGGGGAAGGCACAAACACTTTCCTATCAGGGCAGCTGGGAAATGACCTGCTGACCTGCTGACCTGCTGACCTGCTGCTCCGTTATATTTCAAACCTTTAAAACAGGCTCCATTGGAAACTAAAATGTAAGACAGATGTAGATGTGACTGTGAGCTCATTCAAGCCTGGTTTACTGCGTCAATCTGCACCTGTCTACGGGATTAGACTCATTCATCGACGCCACCTGGTGGTGACAGCTTCCACTGTCACTTTTTGTTGTGTAAACGTCTGTAACTTTCTTGTTTTCATACTCTCGATGCTACAGCTGTTCATTTAAATTTGAATGTAGAAGAGAAACGACCGGACAAGTCAACGCCACGAAACGCATCGTAAACTCCGACGCATCGTAAACTCCGACGCATCTTCTCCAGGGTTTGCAGGTGTCGGTGTTGGTGGAGCTGGAAGGGCGAGTTCCCGAGAACAGGAGGAGAAGAAAAAAGAACCCACGGAAAGAAACCCAGAGACAAGATGATCCGCTGCAGACAGCTCCCCCTACAGGTGAATTCTGGAAGTGCCAGCTCTGAGGACAGGAAGTCTCTGAGAGAACGAGAAAGAAAGAGAGACATTTATTGATTATTGATTGATTTTTGGCTTTGGTTTTATATCTCCACTTCAATATGAAGTCTGTGGGATTGTTTTAATCTGCCTCTGCCACACACACACACACACACACACACACACTCTTGTGTGTTTTTCTGCAGACCTTCTGCTGTCTGGGTCACAGAGCACATCATGAGCCACATTTACCATTGCTTTAATTGCACCTGCGCGCGTGTGTGTGTGTGTGTGTGTGTGAACAGGTGGACTAGACTGGGGCACGCCATGGGGGTCAGGACCAGCTGTACACATCACTGATATGATGTGTGTGTTTTGTCCTTTTTTGTCACAGGCTTACATATGTGTGTGTGTGTGTGTGTGTGTGTGTGTGTGTGTGTGTGTGTGTGAACATCATGTGTGTCTAACCTGCAGCTGTTGGGCTGTCAGGGCTTCTACCTGGACTTTTATACCGTGCCCTCAGGGGTGTGTGTGTCTGTGTGTCTGTAGTGTGTCCGTCTGTGGGTCTGTGTGTATTTATATAGAGTGTGTGTGTGTGTGTGTGTGTGTCAGTGTGTGTTTATGTTGTGAGGGCAAAAGGTTTTGCTGAGCCCTGGAGGCACCCATAGGGCGGGCCACATCACACACACCCACACAAACACACACAGACTCACACACACACACACACACACACACACTCTCACACACACACACACACACACACACACTCTCACACACACACACACACACACACACACACAGACACAGACACAGACACAGACACACAGACAGGGTGAGTCTTGATCTTTGTCTTTGATTTTGGTTGAGAAAATAAAATGATGTCATTTTAATAAACATGACCATGATCACAGCTTCTCCCTCAGTCACTCACACTGAAGCTGCCCGTCTTTGAGGGGGCGTGTCTCACCGAGGGCTGACTCCGCCCACACACCGCCCCTGCTCCGGTCTCATGACTGACAGGCATCTGGGAAAAAGACCAAACAAAGAGAGGAAACATAAATACAAATGAAATGTATTGATAAAAGTTCCTGTTCCCTCACCTCCTCCTCTCCTCACCTCCTCCTCTCCTCACCTCCTGTTCCCTCACCTCCTCCTCTCCTCCTGTTCCCTCACCCCCTGTTCCCTCACCTCCTCCTCCCCTCACCTCCTCCTCTCCTCTCCTCCTGTTCCCTCACCCCCTGTTCCCTCACCTCCTCCTCCCCTCCTCCTCTCCTCACCTCCTGTTCCCTCGCCTCCTGTTCCCTCGCCTCCTCCTCTCCTCACCTCCTCCTCTCCTCACCTCCTGTTCCCTCGCCTCCTGTTCCCTCACCTCCTGTTCCCTCACCCCCTCCTCTCCTTTCTAGCTTCCTTCAAATCTATTACTTCCTTAATGGTTTCTCTTCCTGCTTCCTGCTCTCTCTGCCTGTTTGTATTTCCTACTCCTCCTGACTTCCTGTTTCCTTCCTTCCTTCCTTGCTCCTCCTCTCTCCTCCTTGTCCAGGTCCTTTCCTATCATCTTCCTTCCTTCCCTGTTCCCTTCATTCCTCCATCCTTGGTCCTTTCTTCTCTCTCTTACAGGAGTGACATTTATTTACTGACAGTTTTAAACTGAAGCCACTTCTCTTTTACAGGAAAAACTTGAACTTTTTTGTTCTATTTAATTTGATAAAGTGATGAACAAGTGAATTGTGCAGCAGTTTGTGTCGCCGTCGGCCTCTGACTCAGAAGTTCAATGTAAACAGGAATGAATGAAGTTCCACTGAGTGACAGACAGGACGCCAGGAGTGGAGGCACCTCCTCAGCTCTGGCTGCATCTCCTGCTCTCCTTCCACCTCTTCCTCCTCCTCCTCCTCCTTGTCCTCACCACAGTTGCAGATGATAAACAGAGGAGGAGAAAATAAGAAGTCATTTGCATGAGGAAATAGAAAAGTGAAAGAGGAGCAGAAAGAAGCTAATTCAGCGAGGAGCGACGCTCTCAGCTGATGAATCCTAATCAAAGCTGACTCAGAGTCGCTCTGTCGAACCCAAACTGCTGAGGAGGCTGGGATTAGAGGAGCAGAGGATAGAAGGAGGAGAACGAAGGAGGGGTGGAAAAGTAGAGCTGTTCTGTGGAGCCTTCAAAACCTCAGGGAAGGAAGGAGGAGGAGGAGGATAAGAAGAGGAAGACTAGAGGAGGAGGAAGACTAAAGACGGTACTGATGTTCAGTCATGTATCAGTGGAGCCTGAAGTGTCACAGAGGCTGCAAAAACTAAGAAGAGGAGGAGAAAAAAAGGAGGAAAGGGGGGAAAGCAGGAGAGGAGGAGAAGAAGTGAGGAGAGAAGAAGGAATGGAAAAAGAGGGAGAGAAAGATGGAGGACAAATTGACAAAACAGAGGAGAGAGAGGAGGAACAAATGTGATGATGAGAGGAGACCCAGGGGGAGGAGTGAGGAGATCACTACACTGATGAAACAGTAAACTAGTCCGTTTACTGGACGGAAGAAAGAGGAGAGGAACAAAGGAGCAAAGTATGAGGAAAGGAGTAGAAATAAGAAGTGGAGAAGGAGGAAGAGAGGAGCAGAGAGGAGAATAATTATGTCATTGTTCTGTCACCTTAACACAATGTTAAGAGTTTGTCAATAATCCCTGAGGAGAAGAAGAGAAAAAAGGAGGGAGGTGGGGCAGGGGAGACGAGGAAACGGGGGAGTAAACATTAACACCTCCCACGTCTGTCTTCAGACAGTCAGTGACACAAACACTGCTCCTCCTCGTTTTACATTCATCACCACTCAGGTTTGGGCTCAGACTAATACCTGGAGGAGAGATTAGTGAGGTTCAGAATCGGGAGCACTTACCGTCTTCACCTCCTGCTGCGAGCTGCTCCTCCCTCTCCTCCCCTTCTCCCTATCTGTCTCTCTCATCGGCGAGCAGTTAATTTTGGGATTAGCACGCGTGGCGGCGGCCGGCTCTTTTGAGGGATTTGTAGCCGAGCTGCAGACACTTATCTTGGTCATTACGGCGTCCGTATCGGATTCCAGCGTTTTAGTGTCTGCCAAACGTTGGGCTGCGGAGGAAGAGGTGGAGGAGGAGGCGACACGTTGGCAGGGATTAAGATAAGGAGGCCCCTCATTACGACTCTCCTCCCGCCGACTCTCAGCGGCTGCCACTTCTCTTCCAGTGACATCACGCAGCAGGTGCAGGTCCTGGACTGGCCTCCGGGACACCGGGGGTGAAGATGGAGGGTCGTCACAGGTGAAGTCTGCAGCGGGGGAGGAAATGGAGCCCGGAGCGGGGTGCAGCAGAGGAGAGGAGGAGCTCAGTGTCCCCTCTGTCTTCACTGTGGGACTGGATCCTTGGAAGTACAGGAGCTCCTGATCTGGGATGAACTCCTCTGGAGGAGACAAGTCTGCTAGATCATCGACTGGTTTGGACATAGGTCCAGGTGGGTAGGACGCCGACCGAGACTTCCTGGTGAGCGTCATGCTGTAGCAGAGAGGAGGACCGAGGTACACCTCCTCTGTGCAGGCTGCAAACAGCGTCTCCTCGTCCCTGATGTCAGGACTGGGGGGGACGGATGACGGAGGAGAGTGAGCGGACTGAGGGGAGAGGGAGGCGGCTGTCTTTCTGTTGGTGCTGGTGAAGAGTTCAGGGCTGGGACTGTGGAGGCCCTGTGTTGGGGAGACGTATGTGGGGATGGTGTAGGGGGCCGGCGTGGAGCTCTTCTCCTCGGAGCACTGGCTGACCTCACCACAGTCACTGTCGTGTGAGGACAGGGACAGGTAGGAGTAAAAGTCTCCTTTACGTAGGTGCAGAGGACGGTGGGAATGTTCCAGAACCTGGAGGAGGAGAAGGACGAAAGAGGAGGTCAGGACTGAGCTGCAGTCAAGCTAACAGGTCCTACAACAAACCTGGAACCAGCTACAAACTGTTGACATTGAAACTGTTAGACCAACCAACAAGCTAACAAGCCATGATAAACAGTCAGTCAAAACAGACGTTAACCTGTCTAAAAAACCCGGACACACCCTCGAACGCTGGGACCCAAGGACCTCAACAAAGCTCTCAAAGCTAACAAGTCCTCAAGACAACAAACATGACTTTCAAGCTAGATTATTTATTTAAAACAAATACTGATACAAGTCCAAACCTCAAAAACAGCAACAAAACAGTTGGAAAGACTTTCTATAAAACCAAGACTTAAAAACTGGTGGTGTTAAAATCCGACCAAAAGCAGCTCAATCTAAGCTACAACGTACACAACTGTGACAGGTCGTGATAAGAACAAACAATTTCTAGAAAACAAAAAGGCAGGACAACAAACAGTATAACTAACACTATAACTATAACAGCATTTTAACTCATTATAGAATTAATAACAGCTCTAGGCTAACTAGCCTAGCTAACATGTTAAAAACTTAATCATCTCCCAAAACTGCACTCGACTCTCAACTGGTCCTTAACTCAGCCAACAAAACTCCTACGCACGATAACAAGTCAAGTCAAAGCCGTCGACTGACAGTAATCAATAATCGGTCATGGAGTCGTTTCACTAAAGAATCCTGATTATTATGAAATAGTTCTCCTTTTATTTTTAGTGTCTATGTTCAAAGAGAAAATGAATCTAAAAGTTAAAAAAGTGATCTCCTCTGATCTGTTCAGCCAGTCGCAGTAATTCAATAAATCGCATCACAGATCATAACTTTTAGGATGTGATGAATTTTATTTTTTTCTTCCCAGGATCCACTGTGAGTGAGGGAAGCTAAGAAATAATCAGTTTCCAATCTTCATCTTATTTCTGAAAAGAAATCAAGCAGAAAACTCTGTTTTTTTACTGAAGAAAAAGTCATACAGACATTAGCCACAACACAGTGATGAGTTCCTGGGAACAGTTTGAATGAAACTGTATAAAAAGGAGTCGTCAAATGAAATCAAATATATTTTTGTTACCAGAACCTTTTTTGTATAAAACAATCTCGATTTATTCTCAAATCTTTGTGTATCTCAAGGCTGTTCATCAGGTAAATGTACATACAATTATATGTAATAGCTGCATTTGTCAGAAAGTCTCAAATAAAAATGAGGAGTTACATAACAAATACTAAAATGGTGTTTTTTACTATTTTAAAAACTTTTTTGTACATCTTTTTACTTTTCAAATCAAACATTAAACTTTAAATTCAAATTTGATGGAAACAGAAATAAAATGATCAGAATAATCCATCAGAATCCCACATACTTCCACCAACTACTTCTCACTCATTTCTAGCTGGATTACCTTGTCCCTGATGTTGGCCACTGGTCCCTGGCTCTGGTCCTGGTTCGACCCGTTGCTCTCAGACTGGTTGTTCTCCTCAGACTGATTCTCTTTGCTCTTCAGCGCCAGTGACGTCAGGTCAATGATCTCCATTACAAAGTCATGCACGTTTTCCTTCTTCGCTGAGCAGGAGGGCGTGGAGGAGGAAGGAGGGAGGTGGAGGTGGCAGGAGGGGCGACACCCTCGCTGTTTTTTTGGAGGGAGAGAAGAGTCCTTGTCCCGTATCTCCTTCCTGGTCTCTTCTGTCACGAGTGTAGAGAATTTAAACTTTTCCTGAATGGTGATGGCCTTCCGTTCACTGCTCCCTGCCCTGTCGTTGTGAAATGCATTGTGGGATCTGCAGTCGTCCACTGGAGAGAGGGATGGAGGTGAGGGGAAGGAGGTGCTGTGGCAGGGAATTTCTCCCTGAAGTTGGCCTATCAAAGAGCAGCCACGTCTGACTGACAAAGTAGGAGGTCGAGTGGAGTTTGGTTTTGTTTTCGTACTGTCCACGTCCTCAGGCAGTTCCTCTGACTTATCAAAGAAGTACAACTCTCTCTGCAGCTCCTCCTTTTTAATGAAAACACTGGACTCCTCCCTGAGGAGCCTGTCATCTTCATCATCTTTCCTTCTCAAGCAGCTCTGGTCCACATTCCCGTTCTCCACGTCGTCCACAAACTGGCTGAGGTAGCTTCTGGTCGTCTTCCTCAGGTTTCCCTCGTCTCCCTCACCTCCCACAACTTCGTTGCCACTTTCTGGAGGTTTTGTTGAGGAGTGGTTTCGAAAACAGCTCTGCTCCTTGTTGAATGAGGTGGAGGAGTTAAAGACGGAGGTCTGGTGGGACCCACACTGCAGCTCATCACGGAGACCTGATTCAGACTTTGTGGAAGCGGTGCGAGGAGAACGATTCCAGCTCTGCAATTCACTCTTGATGTACTCCAGTCCCAGGACGTAAGAACCTTCCATCTCCTCCTCATCTTCATCTTCATCATCCTCGTTACCTGAGGAGGCCCCACTTAACCTCACCTCCTCTTCCTCCTCTCCGTCCCGCACACCGAGCTCCTCCTCAGTGAGTGTGAGGGTTGAGGACGACAGGAGGTCGCTGTCGTCCTCGTCCTCGTCCGTGCATGCTGAAACGTTCACCACCATGCTCAAACTGGCAGCATCTGCCTCCTCCATCACAGGTGGAGCCGGCTGCTTCTTGTAGGAGGCATTTGCCATCGCAGGGTTGAGGAGATGGCGGCGGCGGTTTCTCACCAAAGCACAATCTTCAGATCCCAGGGAGGACTCTTCAGTGCTGCTGAGCTCTGTGAGTGACGCAGTGGCTGAACTCTCGTTGATCAGTGATGGTGGACCCTTCCTCATAGAAGACACTGAAATCCCACAGAGTGCTGAGTGAGGACCAAAGGACGGAGAGGCGGACAGACGTCTGTGCTGCAAGGAGATACTTGGAAGCATCATGTCAGAAACACTCCGAGTCATCTTTGCATCCAGAGTAAGAGGACTCTGGATGTTCTCCAAGCGTTTGAGGAGATCTAGGGTTCTTCGACTCAGTTCTCCAGACGAAGCTTCTCCCTGTGATTTCACCAAATCGGCTTCTCCGCCGCGTCGAGGATCCAGTTCCGAGAGGCTGGAGGTGTTGCTGCGACCGGGCGCCAGGCAACTCTCCAGAGAAGCACTGCGCTGCAACGTTTCTTTAGAAGGAAACAGGTCTACACTAGAGGCCAGCAAAGACTCCAGAGAGGAGCCCTGTGACAGACCTGGACTGGATGGTTCTCCACTCAAAGTCGGGGTCTCCAAACTGTTAACTCCAACCCCTGGGTAGACCTTACACGACACAAACGGCTTGGATGATTCTCCGCCACTTCTTTCCACTTCAAAGTCAGAATCAGAGTCTGGAGGTGTTAGGAGTCCACGTCCATTAATAATGATCTCCAAAGCCTCTCCTCCCCCTCTTCTGGGTCTCCTCCTCTTCTCTTCCTCTCTGTTCCTCCTGCTATCATCCTTCCTCCATCCCTTCTCTCTCTTGTTTTCATCCACCCTAACTGCCTGGGTAATTCTGGAGACTTTTTCCTTTTTTGCCTCGTCTTTATCTGGATTTTCAGGATTCCCGGTGGTCTCCGTGTCTCCAGTGTCACTGACAATCCCGCTCTCACACTCAGACCGACGGCTGTTGGCTGACTGACCACTTTCTCTGCCACCTTCTCCATCTACACAACCAATCAACTTGTCTTCTTCTCCTCCTCCACCACTTCTGGATGCCAGTCCTCCAAGAAGGTCTGGGAGTGATTCGATGGAGGAGAAAGAAGAGTCTTTACTGAGACTCTTCAGCAGGCGGTGCTGTTTTTGTTTTCCTAATTTGCCTTTAGAAGAACAGCCAGTAAACTGTGGCTGTCTGTAGAACTCCACATTATGGAGGCTGTAAACCTGGTACACCATGTTGTTGTTGTTGTTGGTCATCTGGGCTGCAGTTTCTGACGGAGACTCTCCCAGACTCTGACTGGCAGCAGCACTCCTCTGGTTCCACTCTGGTTCTGTGGGGAGGTTCTGGGTCAGGTCGGGTTCCAGAACCTGTGGCTCCACTTCTGTCATTGTCATGTCGGTTTCATCCCATTCCCAGGAATCGTCCTGCACTGGTGCAGCAGGAACTGGGCTAATCTGGCGAAGATCAACAAGACCTGGCTCAAGGAAGTTCCCAGGAACCTAAAGACAGAGGAAAAAAAAGGGTGTTTGATTTGAACAAAAATTAAAGAGGTAAAGCACTCTCATGATTCTGTCTCGAAATATGGTTCAGAAAAAATGTTGACATTTAAAGGAATTGTGCAACTATTAATTAGACTCTGAAACAAATGTTGTGATTTCTGAAACATAATTTCTAACATTTAGAAATGTTTCATTTCTAGAAATCAGGAGTTTTCAGTGTATGAGGTCTGCCTCTATTTGGATACACCGGAGCACTTCAGAGGAGGCTGGATACGAGGGAAGTGTAGAACAGGAAAAATAAGGTGGGAGTCACAAGGAAGGAACGTGAACATCTATAACACTCACAGCACAGCTTGACATGGAACTCTGGGACTAGAATCATTTCATTCAAATAAAATCCTCATTTCCTGTTTTGGAACACCACAGTGGACAGCAACGTAAACATTTGAATTATAATACTAACATATGGAACTTGACTTGATTATATATATTTTTTTTTTTTTTCATGTCTGTTGGTCAGTTTTACGGATTTCCACAACATTCTGTTTTCGGTCTGTGTCACTTTCTGTCTCTGTCAATTGAAAAAATAAGCGGCCACTCAGGTCAAGTGGACCGGTGACCATTTCACTGTGCAGTCAATACTGATAATGGTCTTTGATAGAGGTATCAGTGTGGAGGCCACTGGCAGGAGGATTCCCTGCCATTACTTATCATCTTCCTGTACTAATGTTGTGGAAGTCTGCAGTGATCGATACTGTGTTTATATCACAGTAAACGAGGAGCATTCATCTTCATTATCTGTTTTCCTCTTGGTGATATATAAATCTTTCAGTTTGATTCTCTGTTCTTTATGTTCCAAATTACTGAAGGACATTATTCTCCTTCCACTCATATTTTTTTGTACATTGTTACCTTTTGTACAAATGTGCTGTTGTTATACAACATTCATTTAAATGTGGAGGACGTGGTGCTTAATAAGGAAGAAAGATATTTTCAACTGTTTGTCCTTTTCAGCTGAGAGGTTGATCCACTGCTGCAGCCAACGTGAAGCTGAGATGTGTTAACGTGTGACTTTGTTGTTTCAAATTCCAGACTCAGATTTACATCAGTGACATAATCCAACAGCACTGATTTCTCTATGATCAAAATGATGACATTCTCCATGAGCTGTCTGAAACCTTTTTTTTTTCGGTAAAAAAATGTCTCTTTAACAGGAGAAATAAAGTAGTGAATATATTCCCACAACATGGTAAACTTAAAACTCCCAAATTCTGAATTATCTCTTTAAAATTCCTTTTCTCCAGAACCTCTAATCTCCAGCGCTGACGCTCAGACGGATGTCAAATGTTGCACCAAGTCAAATCCTGTGGATCCGTTTATGCATAAAAGTGTTGTTAGAAAAGAAAGGATGTTTTCTATTAACATTTAAAGTGCAACAAATGTTTTATTCCACGCCCAGACGGTGTGTTTTTATTTATGTCGGGCAGCAAACTCTTTTTTATATATATATTTAAATAAAAGGAGATGGACATGTTTGCAAAAATCACAGGAATCAGCTTTGTTTGAACCACACGCCCGCTGACACCCGCCTCTGATAGGAACACGCTCTGCCGTCATTTTAAAAGAGAAGAAGAGCAAAAATCATCCCGCCCCAAAGCAATTGCTCATAAATCTCAACACAAATTATTCCGCTGTGGAACAAAGCGATGAATTATTCAGAAAGGACTTCTGAGAGGAGCAGGGGGAGGAGGAGGAGGAGGGAGAGGTGGAAGAGAGGAGGAAGAGGAGCGAGGAGATGAAGGGAGAAAAATACTAAAGTAAATACGTAATCAGAATCCTTCAGAAAGCACAGCTCTCTGAAAATATGCTTAGACACAGGAATTCTTCTCTTCCGCAGACATAATTATACAAATTGCTCGGCGTCTCATTAACAAGAGAGGGGAGTAATTCCTATTAGCCATTCATAGCCTATTAATCTAATAAACTACCTCTCTGTGTGCTGGTGTGTGTGTGTGTGTGTGTGTGTAATGAAATTCTATTAGATTTGTGTCTATTTCCCTGGTGCTGATATTTCAGATGGGAGTAAATGGCTGAACTGGGGTTTCTGCAGCGACAGACGTGTTCACAAACACGTTGAGGAGAAGAGGTAGAACGATCCATCAGACTAATCTGATTCAATCTAATCTTTGATGACCCAAGAAAACCTGCCAGACGTTCTATATCTGTACTTGTCTGCTGAATAAAAGAGTTTTAAAGCTGAACACATGGAATAACAACGCAACAATGAAAAAAAAAGGGAAGGCAGAGACGTTTTCTTTTTAGATGAACTAACTTCATCTAAACCGTACTTTGGTCTAAATCAACAACATCATTGTCCCTGTATTTGACAACCAGGTGGGTTTTCAGCTTGACCCTTTTCTCAGAGGTCATCACAGTGGTGGAAGGTGTTATCGCACACAGAAGCTTCTGGTAGGAGACTGCATCAAGCTAGCTCCCTCCACTGGACAGTTTTAAATCACATGTGAGCTGAGTGAAACGGTAGAAGTGAGTCGACACTTTGTGACGTTAAGTTGATATTCTCTTCGATTGACTTTGGTCTGGTGAATTAGGTCTAACCTAATCCAACCCACCCAAGTATTTGGAAAATTAGCCAATTTTGTTTAATTTGTCTGAAAACCATAATATATTTTCCACAAATGATTAGTCTTTGTTCATCTAAGCGACAGTGACAGACGGAACAGTTGAATCCTCTTCCACTAGAAGATGTGTGTATTTCTTCAATTCCTGAGAGTATATCAGTATTGTGTTCAACTAAACAGGCTTCACATCAAGTAAGGAGTTGTAAATAATATGAGATCATTCTGTTTCATTACATTTACTTTTTCTGACATTTTTGTTTGTTTTTGAATCTTGGGATTTTTCTAATGTTTAATCAATTCATGGCCGAAAAAAAGGTTTGGAAACACTAGTTTAACTAAGAAGTTGTTTGTGGTTCACATCCATTTTTCATGGTCTGTCGTCCATATTTCCAGCCTGACTTTGTTCCTTGAACATTGATGGGATCGAGTAAAGTTGGGTCAGAAATTGGAGTCAGACTTTTAGTTGACACCGAACTAATCAAAAGTGAGTTGTTATCTGCGGACCAAGATTGGGATGAGTGTATTTATTATTCTATTGGACAAACAGGCTGGTGTTGAAGACCAGAAGACTTTAAATTATTCTGGACAAACAGACCAGAGACCGGAGTTTACAGAAGATCCTCCACAAACTGTTTACTGCACACTGTGGCCGTGTGTGTGGGAGTGTGTTTGCCATAAAACAGAAAAACTTTTTTTTTTCCATTAGCTTTGGTTTGACTGCTCCCATTTGTTAGCATAGCAGCTGAAGGCCCAAGGAGAGCGTGGCTATCTAACAGCATCTAGGTGATTATTCATGTGCCTCAGCTCCAGGTGGACCTTCTGCTGCTGCTGCTGCTGCTGCTGCTGCTGCTGCTGCTGCTGCCCAGGCCCCGGTCCCTGCTGTACCTGTTGTCACTGCACTCAAGAGAGTCCGGCGTCAGAACCAGCAGAAGCTCACAGATAAATCATGTCCCTGTGCAGACAGCAAAGCTTTGAATGTAATTATAAAACCTGAATGAGAAAACCACCATGCACTGCAGCTAAAGTATTCCCAACATTCCTGAGGAACTTGGAGAAAAAAGGACTTCCATACATCAACATGTAGTTTTCAACAAGTGTGAGGGAAACAAAAAATGGTTAGAACAAAAGAATCAAACAGGAACTACCAACTGTTTACAGAGAGATGTGTAGCTAGCGTTAGCATTCCTCTACAGAAACATACATAGAATACAATACAATGTGTTAGCCATAACTGGAATTCAGTTAAAAATGCCAACAACAATTAAAAGTTAAGTGGGGCTACCATTAGCATGATTCTGTGATGCTAATGCTAGCTGTAAAAACCTCCCCACTACAATTATTGTGTCCTACACAACAGAGTACTGTTAGCATGACCTTGACTATTAGACTGTCCTTAGTCTAACCTTTAAATGGGACTACTGTTAGCAACACTAAGCATAAGCTAACAATAAGAACAACTGGACGTGGAGGCTAAAAGCTCTAACTTGTTAAAGCTCTTCATGAGAATATTCTGAGCATCAGCAAAACTTCTTTCAACTAAAGATGTTGCAGCTAAAAGTAATACTTTTTATTAATAATTTTAAAAAAAATGTTGTGATGTAGTTAAACCCGTGTATCTTTTGTGGCTCACTTAGCAACAATATGAACAGTGAGAATATTAAATTATAAATATAAACTGTCAATAGTTACTATCACTTCAAATATTACAAACTGATTAGCTGTGGCTGAACTCGAAACAATTGAAAAAATACATTGTTTTTAGTACATCCTAAACCCCCAGTTTTTTTTCTCTCTCTTCACGAACAGTGAAATTACTCTGCAGTCAGGCAGCGAGGTCACACTGTCTGCCCTCTGTTATTTGTCTTCTCCGACACTACAGTGTGTGTGTGTGTGTGTGTGTGTGTGTGTGTGTGTGTGTGAGGGTGTGTTTCAGAGAGAGGAAGTATCTCCTGGCCTTCATCAAACAGCAGTTTTTTCCTTCTTTACTGTTCTGTTGAAATCACACTGTGATCTCCAGTCCAGCAGGAGGTTAACTGTAGCTTCATAAAATCAACAATTTGATAAACATGTGTTAATTCAGTGTAGAATTAATAAACTCTAATAATAAAATACAGATTTAACTGTTTACATTTCCTCATCAAGTTCTAATTCCAAGCTATTTTTGTCTTTTTGTTTATCTCTAATTTTGCTGCGAATATTACGTACTAATATTCTTGACTTCATTTGTTTTTGTTTTTATTTGTTTATTTAAATTTGTGTGTGGTTTAACAGTTTTATCACCTCTGTGAAACATCACTTTTTAATTTTAATTTTTCAACATTTATACAATTAGCATCAGGCCCAGTGAAGTCCACTGAACTGAAGCAAAAAGGCTCCACTACTGCGGGTGTGTTTAAATATTATGACTTTTTTACTACAGTTCCTTATGTTATGTCTATAACTTCAACTTGGACTGTGATTTTAATCATGTTTTTATTTAAAACATTTTCTCTTTAATCTGATTGTATCTTAAAGGTAACATGTGACCAGTGAAATATAAAATAAAATAAAATATATTTGTGTCTCCAGATGAATGTCTGAGTGTGATTTAATGCCTTTGTCTTTCTGTGTGTGTGTGTGTGTGCGTCCGCCTGACATTTCTGAAAAAAGAAAACAGTGAGTTTGTGTTGATGCTTATTTCACACCGACTCATCTTGTAAAGATTGTTCCGCTGCCGAAACGCCTCGCCTTCAATTACGGCGCCATCTGTCTTTCACGCTCGCATCTAAGCATCAAATCAAACTCTGACGTGCTCGCCAAGCATAACCTTGCTGCCCGCGGGCCGGTGACGGATGTGGCGTGTTAAATGTCAGGCGGCTCTAACCTGCCGCTCGCCCAGCTCCTTCTTCAGTCGGTTCTGCCACTGCAGCGCCTGCATCACGATGGCCTCCCACCGACGCTCCAGGTTGATGGACAGCAGCTGCAGGGCCTCCTGGTGCTGCTCCGCCTCAGGGCCTGCCGCCTCCGCCATGAGGCCCGACTGTCCAAGAGATGGGGATTGGGGAGAAGGTGTTAGACTGATGACAATGAAAAAATGTTTTCATTTTAATCATATGATTAAAGCTGTGGTAGGTGAGAGCGATACAGAGAGGAAAACAGAGAGAGGGAGACAGAGGGGGGGGAGAGGGGGAGAGAGGGGGGAGGCAGAGGGGGAAGGAGAGAATTGATTGCTGAATTTAATTTCTAAGGGGTTTAAGACTTTTCATTTGAAGTTGAAGGTTCTCGGTCCTAGACCTCCACCCACTTCCACAACATCACTGGACGACCATCTGCCTTTAGCCCCGCCCACATCATCAACGTTGGAACTGAACGTTGCTGAATTTTTTTTCACTTTTTTAATTTTTGTTTTATTTCAGTGCTTGAACAGCGGGTAGGTGGAAAGTAGAGAAACTGAATTTCATTTTTTCTGTACGTCCTATAAATATAGAAAAGTTGATAATTAAAAACAAATGAATATTTGGATGAATTAATTGTCTCTCTTTATTCAGGTCTGTGATTGGTTAAAATCTCCAACCAGGTTTGGACTGGAAACAAATCCTAAAATCTCTTTTATATCACAAGGGTGTTTTGTTTATTAGAAATTGTTAACAAAAATGTGGATTACCTATCCCAACTTTAACCTTCATTTAAAACTAACAACAACATCAATTGTTGTGTTGAGCTGAATGTAACTTAATCTCAACTTTATTTACATTACAGGTTGTTTTTCATTGTGTTGCTGTGGTTTACACAGTGCAGGAGTTTAGAGGTAGCAAAGATTTACCACAAACTCACCTGACTTTGCTGCAGCAGTTTTTGGCACAGCTTCAGTACGGATGCCACTCCACGGCGTCGAGCTCGCACCTCAGCACAAAGAGACTGGAAGAAGAAAAAGAAGATGAAGAAGGAATGGGGAAAAAGTTTTTAAAACTTAAAAAAGAAAACTTTTTAAAGTCCACTGAGTGACACGGTACACTCGTCCACACCAGAGTTCAGAGTCACTTCTAGAAAATGATGCCTTTTCAGTTTAACTGCTGTAAAGTCTTCTGTTCCTTCTGATCTGCACTCTACTTTAAATACTGACTCATTTCAGTATTTGAAGAGAGTGAACCAGGTGGGAGGATTTTTGGGCGTTACTTTGTCTCTTATCTTCATTTTTACCATCAACACAACAGTTAAATCAAACATCATGATCACACGTTGAACCAAATGAAACCTTGGTTTAGTTTTCTAGTCCCGTCGTCCTCAGATCAGGTCGTGACGCTCTGCTTGATTGGTTTGAGCACTTTGTTCATTAGCGCAGACTGCGCTGCAGCTCACAGATCCGTCATCAGCCGTAACAGTGCAACGAACTAAAAAGGACAACAGTAAATATCCCTTCGTCTTCCTCTCCCTCTCCTCCTCCCCCTCTCCCTCACCCCTGTCTAATAAATGCAACAAAACCAGGAAAAAAACCAAACGGCCTGATTGACGGAGCCCATTAGAAATCACTATATGCTGATGAGTTTCAACACACAAAGGTCAGCCAGCAGTGTGTGTGTGTGTGTGTGTGTGTGGGTGGTCCATATGTTAAGCAATGAAAAGCATTAATATGTGTGTAATAGAGTGTGTGTGTGTGTGTGTGTCCATATGTATGCAAAAACTTTTCCTCTCTTTGTGTGCACTTGAATGTGTTTATGTGTGTAAGTGTGTGTGTGCACGTGAGTGTGCGTCGGACGGGGGACAGCCCTGCCTCGCTGTGTGTCACGGAGCCAAACACGTCCAAGCCCCGGACTGTTTATGGTAATCCCACTCCCTGGCTGGAAAAGCACTTCCTTTACATTTTCTTTACATTTTTCCAATAAATATTAAACACTATTACAATGAAATGGGATTCTCTCTCCCTCTCTCTCCCTCTCTCTCTCTCTCTCTCTCTCTTCAGTTTAGCATATTTGGGGCTGGCCTTGTTGTCTAAACAGGAGATGGAGATGCAGAATTCAGCAGACAGGATCAAGAGGACGAGACCGTTGTGTGTGTGTGTAGGTGTGTGTGTGCACATAAAGTGACACGTGAAAGAAGATGTGTGTGCATGTATGTGTGTGTTTGGCTGAAGTAAACAACAACAGAACAGTTCAGCGACACTGGGGGGTCAAACTGGGTCAACAGTCAGTGAAAACACAGATCAGAGTGATTTATGATTCAAACCAACAGAATGTACGTCGCAGTAGTAATGGTACTACTAGTACTACAAGCAATACAGACTGAAAAAATACCCACATCTTCTACGTCGTCAACACATCAAAACTCTGTTTCTACTTCTTTCTTCCGCACAGAGTCAACATTTACAAAACTGACACCAGGTTTTGTTTTTAAAAAAACTTTATATCAAACAGAAAACCACTTCATCATTAACGTTAATGTTTAAATCCACACCTAGAACCAGGCGACTCCCAAGTGAACCACGTCTTGGACTTTTCACAGTCTCATAAAATCAGTAATTCTGTATTGGCTCTAGTCCACACTGAGTGGAAATCAGCCGTTCCAAACTACAGATCAGTGTCACTCCTTCATGACCTGCAGAGGTTTGAAAGGCCTCAGGTGGAAGAGTGGAGTTTTTCTCACAGTTTATTTTTAGACAGAAGAAAAATCCTGAATCCTGAGTCTCTATTGTTTCTGCACTGCTGCTTTTCATGCACTGATCGCCCCCTCCTCTCTCTCTATCTCCCTCTTTGTCTCTCTATCTCTCTCCCTCCAGTTGAGCCTGGCTGGGCCCGTATTGACTCAGAGGGCTCTACAGACACAGTCGGACAAATATTTGCCGAAAAGCTTTCCTTCCAAAATACGTAGAGTGTTGGAGCGGCTGTAGAGAAAAGAGGAGCAGAAAAGAGCTGAAAACAGTGAGAGAGGTCAGAGCAGAGGAGCAGAGGAGCAGGAAGATTAAAGCCAAAGTAACAGTGAGACTTCGCTGAGAAAAAAGACAAGAAATAAGACAACATGAAACAGAGAAAGAGGCAGGAAATGAAAAGAAAAGACCACAAGCTGTAGATGTGACACTGGAACCAACAACAGTTCTTACACAGAGGGTTATTACTGAAACTTCTCAAACTTCTGCCACGCTTTGCAGATGATGTGACGCTGTGTATGTTCCCAGGACACAGTTGAATAAATGAAGCAGTTTCAAGTGGTTCCCGTTGGTTTGGATTCTTTTGAACAGAACACAGAGCAAATGTTGTAAATTATATTGGTTTGGATTCTTTTGAGAACACAGAGCAAATGTTGTAAATTATGGTCCTATTTTACGGAAAACAGACCTGAGGAATGACAGCAGAGCTGAACACAAGTGGTTACAGAGTGAGAGTGATCGTTTAGATTTGTTGTCGTTAAAAGGAAAAACAGAATAGCACCATGGTGAGGATATTCATGTCCACCAGTGTCTCCATGGTCAAGGTCGACCCACAGTAAGGCCGTTTTTTTTTTTTTTCTCAGCCCATCACTCAACCCTCGTTCTGTAAGTGTGACACAATTAGGATAAACAAAAAATCCAAGAGGATCTGCTGTTCTCTTCTGCTAATTCCCTCTTCACTCTCTCTCAATCTCCCCTCCTGTCCTTCTCCTCCTTCCTCTTCCTCTCCTCTTATCCTGTATCTCTCTCCCTCCTTAAGACTTCCTCTCCTAAAAACAAAATCCTCTTAACTCTCCTCCACCTCCTCATCTCCACAATCTAATTACTGAGACCTGTTGTGAAGAGAGGGAACAGGGAGTGACAGAGGATGAAGAGGAGAGAGAGAGAGAGAGAGAGAGAGAGGATGAAGGAGACAGAAGGTTGTTTGTTTGTGAAGCCACTACAGTAGTCGTACAGATACAGCACTGACAGTCAGGTTTATAACCTGTTCACTCAACCAGACCAAGGTCCACAGAGAAAAACTCTGACTCTAACATCACAGCAGAGAGGAGTTGTTTTAATGTCTTTGAATATGTCTCTTCAGAGACGGTGGACTCCTGGGTGTGGTTTGAATGACCACAGGAGGTGGCAGTAGATCAGCAGTTATGTCTGCGTGTGCTAAGTCGCTGCTTCGTGTTGAAGCTTAGCTTCTACTAATGTGAATTTCTCTGCCTAAACACTCTGTCTACTCACTCTGGTGCAAAATTCCAGAAAAACGTATTAAATGGACCAGAGTTGGAGGGAGAAAAAAAAACCGTAAGGGCGTGACGACGGAGACGAAAAGGAAGAAGAAGACAAGGACAAACAGGAGTGGAGGAGACTGAGAATTTGGGCTGTGACCCACTGGATATTTCAATCAATTACCATTAATTAGAAATCTCTGATTAATTCTATTTGTTGATTAAGTCAATTAAAACCACAAACACTCGTTATCGCACCACAAGCCTTAATGAATTCCTGTCGACAATTTGCATCCACACATATTCCCTCTGCTGATGCTAACGGTGCCTACAGCAACACGTACCTCTGTCCTTTAATTCCCCGTCTCACCTTCCACCCTCTTTCCATTCTTTCTTCTTCCCTCTTTTTTTACTTCCTGTCTCGTCCGTTCTTCCTTAGCCAAACGTATAAAAATACAAAAGGTCTCCGGCACGTTTTGGCCGCAGAGATTTGCTGGAGGGCAGCATGTTTTTCAGCCAGTTTCCTTTTCTGTAAGTTTGGAAACATTAATCCTTCACTTCATCACCTTGTCCTCTAACCTCAAGGCCTGGGATTCCCAAACCGGGATCCTGGGACCTCCGGGGCTCCTCCGCTCAGACACCCAGGTAAAACAAGGCTGCACACAAACTCTCTCCTAAGAGTCTTGTTATGTCAGTCAAACTTTTTGGGAACAAGTCAAACAGCAGCACAGGGGAGTGAATGAAGCCAGAGGTATAATCCAGGATTTCTGCTGTTAACACACAACGCCCAGGCCCAATCCCAGTTCCCCTTTTCACCCCGGAAAATAGGTGCACAGGTTAGAGGTGGTAGAATTTGTTTTCTTCTCCCCTCAGGAACACGTTTATACGACGAGAAGCTAATTTAGTGATCAGTTCAGTTTAAAAGAGGAGTTTAGACTGTGGATACAAAAAACAACTTACTCTAAAGTGGCTTTAATGTTCCATAAAATACACAGATATTTTGACCAACGTGGACAGGCTTCATGTCGGGCATATGATTAAAAAATGTTTGTCATTTACACAAGGTGGCGCTTTGGCCCAGAGTCAACGTCTCTGTCATTGGTGTGGAACCCCAGGGTTCACCTCCTGGACAAGATCCAATCCCGGTCACAGTGGTTGGTACCAGTGCAGTGGACTCACCACCAGGAAGGTTCAGGGGGGTTGGTGCGGTGCAGTGTGATTTGGGTGGTGGTCATGGAGACTGCTGCACACATTTTTTGTTAAAGATTCGCTGCTTTAAACTACGCAAAAACTCACTGAGGTCTGTGAGTCGGACTCATGTCCGACAGCACAATGAGGTAGTGTGCTGGTGAGGCAGTTTCAACCAATCACCGCAAAGAAGCGGAGAGAACAGTTACACAATTATGATGTGGACATAAGTCAGCAGGAGCTGAGGGTAACATAAAGGTTAGGCCTTCCTTAGTGAAAACCTGTCGTACAGGACAGAGTTAACAAAATAAACCAGTCTTGGTTGGATTAAACCTGTCCTCAGTCAAACCTCTACCCTTTAGTGACAAACACTGTGTGTGTCCTTCACACGTAAAAGAAAAAATAAATCTTTTTCATCTCTGACATTAGCCTAGGTCCTTCTGCTCCAGCTCCACTCACAGCGAGGTTTTAACTTTGAAAGCTCTGCTCTTAAAATATTCAGCAGCTCTAAACGACCAGGGAGAACATGTGAAGTTTCTGCCAGAGAAAGCATTTAGTGTCGAGGCTAATGCAGCCAGGGTGGACCAGCTCCACGAGTTCAAAGTCCATCTCTTTCTCTCTGTCTGACTTTCCTCGGCTTCATCTTTGTCTGGATCATTCTCTGGTTCACACTTTACACACCCTCATCACAAAACACCACAGAAAAAGTCTGCACTTTTATCTCAAGAACCACACATGAGCTGCTGGTCCACTGCTGCCCCCTGTGGTCAGTTTGTGTGACCAAGGTGAATGTGAACAAATGGTTTCAAAGACTAAGGTCAAGAAACACAACATAAACCAGCTGTAAACTCAGAGATTAGAGCAGCAGTGGATGAACAGCTCGTGTCGTCTGTGATGTTAAATCACTCACTTCCTCTCTGGACTCTGCTGTAAATGAAACACCCACAGAACTGAGTATCCTGCAGCAGATGACCGTCCTGCTGTCAAATAAAAGGCTTTTTTTCCTCTTCTGTGAATAGTGACATGTAAATGACAGGAAGTGATGAGTCATGTCATGAAGTAACAGGTGAGGATCACCTGTGGCTGAAACGTGAACAGGTGTTTGATGGTGGAACCCTGAGCTCTCAGCTTCTGTTCTGACAGCAGCTCTTTGATTTCATTTTCTCTTCATGTTCTTTCTCTTTTCTTTGTTTTTCGGCTTCGTTCTTCTGTGAGTTTTCCAATTTAGAAGATTGAAGACATTTCTTCTTCTTTCCCATCATTGTCCTCCTGCCACCGCTCCTCTTTCTCTCCTGACCTCCTCCTCTTCTCTCTCCTCTGGTGTTTTTTTTTCTCCAAACCTCCTCATTTCTCTTCTCCACTCTGCATGTTTCTGCCTCCCTCCTCCTTCAGCAGATGAAAGAGCTGAGTGTTTTCTTCTCCTCCTCCTCAGGATCAGATGAAGATGAAAGTCTCATCTTCTCTGTTGACGCCGTCGCTGTGGAAACGCCTCACCTGTTTACTTGCCTCCGACCCTTAACGAGAAAACACCTCTTCAAAAACACACACACACTCACACACACTCACACACACTCACACACACTCACACACACTCAGCAGGGATGGTGTGAATCTCTAATCCTCAGCATTGAACAGGTATCGATGTCTCACCATCATCATCATCATCATCATCATCATCATCATCATCATCATCACCATCACCATCATCATCA